CAAAGTTGCGGTGGGGGTAGAGAGCCAGTCCTCCAGTCCAAACAGGCACTTCCATACAGTTCCCTACCCTCTGTTCAGGGCACAAATCAAGCCTCCCAGGGTAGCGGGGCAGCCTCCTAAGGCAGCGGGGCCGAAGCCGCTGCCGCTCGCGCAACGCCGCCACCGCCGCCGCCCAGCTGTTCGAAAAAATCACCGAGGGAGGTAATACCGTCCAGGGGCCACCCGAAGGCAGCCCCCTCCCCAAATAATTACCTCCCCGGGAAGCCGGGAAGCCCGAATGTTGATCTCTTGCAAGGACCCCTCCGTTGTCATGTTCGGGGTCCTAGTCGCCTGGAATCTATCGCTATTATTTCTCAATAGCCGGAGCGTTGAAACTCGGCGGCCATTCCCATTCTCACGCATGCGTGAGAATGGGAACATTCTCTGAATGTTCTCTAATAAGACAGAAGGCATTTTCTGTTTTAAATGTATTTAATTAAGTTGTTTCTTCCCCAGATTGTACTCCTTATTTGAATTCAGTAGGAAAACATGTCATTGGAGATGTACAGAACATCACTATTAGTCAATACGCGTGCTCTGGTCAAGTTGCAGTGACTGTATTGTGGACAGCCAACCCCATTGGTAAGAGAAAAATTTGAATTTCAAACAGATGCTAAACCATTGGAAATTTTTGCTCCCCCATCCCCATTCCAGCTAAACACTGTCATCTTCATTGAATCCATATTTCACATCTCTTGCTATTCAACATTGCCCAACATTATTAACATTAAAGTTTGTTCTGAAAGAATTCAAGACAGTCCATTTAAGCCAGGCTAAGTTGCCAAATATAAAGGAGAATTCCCCCCTTCTGTTTAAAGAGACTTCTACTTCCAAATTGAATTGTCTGTCTATGTCATTCTGAAATCCACCTTCATCTTTGAATAGATAGGAGAGTCCTTAAGTGTTTGCCATTCAGACTGATGCAACTTAACTTGACTGACTTAACTTATTCCCTCCATGTTATTTAACCTTTTCCTGCAAGTTCCTTCCAGACTTGCTTGGATATAAATATTAGAGAAATTTAAACATAAAGTAATGTAGAGATGTACTGAAATAATGTGTTTCATATACATTTTATGTTCAAATTTGTTCAGGCTGCATTGAATCCTCATCAGCTTTTTGAAAGTGGCTATAATAGTGAGCTGATGATAGAAACACATTTGCAAAAGCATTTTAACATATATTTTGGGGAAACAGTAAAAGGGATGGTTAAATGTTGGCAAATCACAGTGTATTTCATTATATTTAGTATGCTGCTGATCTGAGTAGAAAACAATGGGTTAGCTATTAAAAAGAACAGGGATGTGATATCCAATGCTTCTAAGATCACAATGTTACTGAATTGATAATTTGCAGCTGCAAACTTGGCTGCCTTAAATCTCCAAGGCCTACAAAGCTTGGCATTTTCTCTTGTAATGATCAGAACTTAATCCCTCTCAAAATATCAAGAAAGAACTGAAGGTGAAGGATCTCAGGTAACAGGGATCTGGTTAACTTTTCTTATTCATAGAATAAGAAATAGAATAATATATTATTCTTCCTTTAAATATTGGAGGCACAGGATGTAGTTGATTTGCCTCCCTTGTTGCAAAATCATTACCAAATTCAACTACATGGAAAATAAATTAATTTTTTTAGTCCTAAGTATTGTAGGAGCATGGGACAATACATTTGCAGCTAAACTGGCCTTAGAATATTTTACTTAGCATCTGCTTGTTTAAGAATGTCATACAGTGCAAATGTAATTGCCAAGTTTTCTTAAATTATGTCCTTACCTGATGTGTATAGTGCCAAGTTTAGCACTATCATATCTGTGTCCTCCATTTGCATAGACTTGAATTCCCTGAATTCTCAACAATAGTCATATTGAGACTTGATCTATACACGTAATGCTTCATAAATGATGGAAGACTGGAGCTTGAATGAAGAGTGAAACTTTCATGATACACATCCTGTTGTTTTTGTTTTATTCTCTGCTCTCTTTTCTGTCTGGGGTGTATTTTATTTTCTAGTTTTTGATGTTATTAACACATGGTGTGTCAGAGTCACTTTTTGCAAATTGAATAGCTGTATAAATTTAAGGAAAACATATTCATCAGTAAATGTACATTTAATGATCTGTTTAAATATATGCAGGTATTGAATTTCTGAAAGGATTTCGAGTTATACTTGAAGAATTAAAATCGGAAAGAAGACAATGTCAGCAGTTGCTTTTAAAAGACCCAAAACAGCTCAACTCAAGTTATAAGTGGACTGTAAGTCTTAGTGTTCAAAATCATAGAAATCCCAGAGCAGAAGCCTTATTGAAATCGATGGGACGCTTTACTAAAGGATGTTTTATCTCCAGTGTTTGGCTGGAATATCAGACTCTGGGGACTCCTCACTAGGGCTGGGCACACTTAACCAGAATCTTTCACGAGAAAAATTCTGGTGCTTTAAGAAACGCCATAATGTTAATCTGTAGATTCTTTAAAGGCGTGGCATTTTTTTCAGGTTCATGCCTAAGAAGGCAGGAGGAAGTTGTACTTTAGCACCATCTGAATATATTTAACTTTACATTTTACATTTATATGAAAAATAAATATGGAATTATGAGATTGTGGTTTGCACCTTCTATCTTTATTCTACCAACTTCCTTATCTTTTATGACAATCCCGTTTGTTAAGGTTTAAAGAAGAGTTTAGAGAGTCCAGTAGGAATGATTAATAAAAAATTAATTGCACCCACTAGACTCTCTAAATTCTTAAAATCTTAACTAATTGGGTTTTCACAAAAGATAAGGAAATTGGTCTTCTTCTGATGCCATCATTGATTCCTATAAATGGGAAATATGGAATTATTTTAGGAAAATAACATAATTGCGTGATTATCCAGGGCATGTTAAAATGTGCTACTAATTGGCTTACATTTCTTCCCTTTCAGAGAGTGGAATCTCAGCCCTTCCTAAATCTGAAATTTGAAACTGACTACTTTGTAAAGATTATTCCTTTTCCATCCATTAAGAATGAAAGTAACTACCATCCTTTTTTCTTCAGAACTCGGCGTAAGTACAACAGCAATTATTCCTTTCTGCCTTACAGATCTTTGTGTCCTGAATGTTAATGAAAGCTGATAGCAGCTGAAATCACATGCTTTCTAGTTAGAATTCACAACAAAGCCTACTTTAAGTGAAATGGCTTTGGAGGAAAAATATGGATGAGCATCAGAATTATGGGAACATATTTAGGAAGGTTTTGATAGACTGAGTCTATTTTACTAAAACATTCCTGTAAAAAACCTGGATGCATGCCTTTCTCTCAGCAATTGTTATTTTCTTTGGGAAATTAAATGACTTGCCTACAAATCCATCAGCCTATACATGTATCAGGCATATGAGATTAAGATTTAGGATCCTCTATTGTTTCATGTCATTTGGATACCTACGTATAAATACCTTTTCAAGCAGAACTTTGTGCAAAGAGCTTTAAAATGCTGCTGCTGCTCTTAACAGTTTGAAAAAAAGATGCTTTGTACACATTCTCTCACATTCTCATTTTTGAAGTGTAGATTTTGAGGTATTTGTGCAGTTCTAATCCAAAGTGACCATTAGCTACTTTTTACATGTTAGTAGAAGGAAACAGATGAACTCTTCATCCCTAGATTTCTGATCAATGTAAGAATGTGTATGGTTTTTGTATCGTGCACCATAAAAACATGGGATTATCCTATATATCTGCTGGAGGACATAACCTCTTTTTTACTAGCAAATATGGTCAGGTACAAATTAGCTTAAACAAGTTGTTCATGTAAAATAAGCACCAGGGCTCTGGCAGGGTAGAGGTTTACTAAATAACTAAATTCCAAGCTATTACATGAGCCCCACCTTTTCTGTCTGATACACAGACTCTGAAAGTTTTTACACAAAGGAAGGCAAAAATCTTTTCCTGTCTAAACCTTTTGTGAAGTTAGCTTTTCGGAAGACCTGTAATCTGAACAATTTTGCTTTTGTCTTTTTTTTTTTTGTCTTTTAAATAGCTTGTGAATTGCTGCTGCAACCAGACAACCTGGTCTGCAAACCTTGTAAGTGGAACTGCAGTTTTAACATTGCTTCTACTAAGATTATATCAAGTTACAAAAAGCTATGTACCAATCATTGCCTAAATCTTTCTTCCTTGATAGTTTGGAAGCCAAGAAGCTTGAATATTACGCAGCAAGGTTTTAATATGTATGTATCTTTCGAACATGCACCACATAACTTTGGATTCAGATATTACTACCTGCACTACAAGCTCAAAACTGATGGACAGTTCAAACAGAAGATTTGTAAACAGGTTTGCTCATGTTTTACAATGTTGGATCTAACCTAATTTCTATGTAGAGACCACTCTTATATCAGGTTAGGTCAGCTGACACTAACAGGGTTTGGTGAAAGATTCGGCTATGTTGGTGGGCTTTCAGATACATTAACATCATAAAGAAGTTGGAAAGAGTTCTGACAAAGCAATAGCAATAGCAGTAGACTTATATACCGCTTCATAGGGCTTTCAGCCCTCTCTAAGCGGTTTACAGAGAGTCAGCATATTGCCCCCAACAATCTGGGTCCTCATTTTACCCACCTCGGAAGGATGGAAGGCTGAGTCAACCCTGAGCCGGTGGGATTTGAACCGCTGAACTGCTGATCTAGCAGTAGCCTGCAGTGCTGCATTTAACCACTGCGCCACCTCGGCTCTTGTGTTTCCAGTGTTTCCCCGACCTTGACAGGTAGGCTACAACTCTCAAAATTTCCCAATCAACCATGCTGGCTGAGGAATTCTGGGAGAAGAAGTCCATATATCTTCAAGTTTCCAAAGTTGAGAAACACTGGATGGAACAGCTGAAATGGGGTAATCATATGGGCTTCAGAATGACATAGAGGAGATGTAACCCCTGTTGAATGTTGATCCTCAACATACTTTAGATGCTTCTTCAGTTTTGCAGAACCTTACATTAGCTTCAGATTTAGCATGACCCCCCCAAAAAACCCCTAGTCCTACCATATTATATTTAGTGGGGCTGGTTGTGTTCCCTAGAACTCTTATGATCTATTTTTTTTCTCCACTCTTTTCTGTTCTTTCTATTTTTGAATTGCATTTTTATTTACAATGATGGATATTATACATATGAAATAATGCTTTAGAGATGATAATTCTACTTTGACCAATTGCAGGGTAGAACATAATACAACATTTAAGCATTAGGTTAGAGCACTTGAAAGCACATACAGCACTCTTAATATTTATGACGTCTAGATAAAAATTGTAATTAAGTTTTTGTAAATGCTATTACTTTATTACATTTTTATTTATTTCAAGCTGGGAAAAACAAACAATGTACTTTGGGTAAGGGTAGTTTGGAGTTAATGTGATATTCAGTGAAATATAATTCAAGGGGTACTGCAGTTTTCTTTCTCTTCTTTGCTTAAATGCTGATTGCATTTGGTGATATGCATTCATTTGGGGAAACTGTTCCTTTTGCTATTTGATACATTTGGATGTAATCCAGGAAAGGCTACAAGAAAAACCTTGTCCTCTGTGTTGAGTATAGGTTCTGAATTCTTTATAACTAGGGATTTTTTGTTAGCTATTTATGACTAGGGAGAGATTTTCAATCAAATGAGGACTCCAAAGATTTTTGGCTTAATGATTTATGTACTTCATTTATAAATCTGTATCTTTAATTGCTTGGGAAGTGGTATAACTTTCAGAAGTGATAACCTTGTAATGAAAGTGTAGTTTCTTCAAATATTGAAAAGATTTTACGAATGCAGGAATAATTGTTCTGGCTTTCTCATAGGAAAAGAATACAGATGCAACAACTTGCATTCTTCAGAATGTCTCACCTGGAGATTATATCATTGAGGTAATGAATTATTTGTAGTAGAAGAATATAAGAGTAAAATATATTGTAGCCAACTTTCAGTTATGTCCTTTGAAACTAGGAGCGTAATTAGTATTTTAACTTTGTTTTGCATTACATCATAGAATAATGTTGTCTATACAATTTTTTCAAGTCTTTGGCACTAACAGTCTGTTGTTCACCCAAGCATCATAAAAAAATCACCAATAATCTTGCAAGAGTGCTAAATTTCATGATCTTACAATGCTCCTCCTCTATCAGGGGATCTCGTAGACTTCAGCATTCTTTTTCAAGACTGACAATCTCACCAAATCATGGCTATTTATACACAATTAGGATTAATAGTTTTATTTTAATTCATCTTTGGTGAATTTTAGACACTTCATTCTGGAGGCAAGAGGCACCCTTGCCAAATTCTTGGAACATAGAATAACTTTTAATTTTTAAAAAAGCATCAATATCATTAAAATGAAATGGCAAAATCAGCTATTCTTGATCCTCCTTCAGAACTGTAAAGTAAATTTTTAATTGAACTCTTGCTTGCATGGCTGTTTTGTACATACATGACATTGCTGGAAAATTGGAAACTGGATGATTGGTTGTTCAAATGGATAGACGGTAATATAAAATTCGGATCCATGAGAAACTAGACTCCAACTGGGCAAGTCTGGTTGCCTTGTGCCTGAAGTTCAGTCTTGTGAGTTATTGGGCTGTGTGATGTCCATGACTTCCAGTGAAGTTGACAGCTTTTTCCAAACTGGGTATTAGGCTGCCTATGTCGTGACCCGTCAAAACCGCGGTCCACTAAAGCGCGCCCGATTAAAGCGCGTACCTGATGTCATCAGCAGCGCGACAAATACGACCGCGGAGAAAAAAGGGCGCTTTAAAAAGCGCTTTTAAAGCAAGCCGATTCACATAAAGGTAAGGGTTAGGGTTAGGTTTAGGGTTACTTTAAGCATTAGGGTTAGGTTTAGGGTTAGGTTAAGGGTTAGCGTTAGGTTTAGCGTTAGGTTAAGGGTTAGGTATAGGGTTAGGTTAAGGCTTAGGCTTAGGCTTAGGTTTAGGTTTGGGGGTTAGGTTTAGATTTACGCGTTAATTTTAAGTTTACTGCTCACAGCGTGCTGTTTTCGTCACGCTGTGATGACGTCAGGTACGTGCTTTTGTCGAGCGCACTTTAGTCTACCGCGGTTTTGTGGTGGAACCGCCTATGTAGGCTAAGGCTTCTTGGAAGATGACTTGCATTTGGAATGGTATGGCTTCTTGGAGAGAGATGGTGATCCCCTTAACCTTGAAAGATGTAGTGGCCTATTCATTTCTTAAGAGACCACCCTAAATCCAATAATTTTGGACAATTATTGTTTTGTCTTTGTATTTTTCTTCTTACTTTATTGAGAATGCCAACTACAATACATGGACATTTTGAAACTATTCTTTCTGAATCCAATTTGGACAAGTTTCCATTCACACAGTTTTGATTGTCTTCTGTGTAATCAATACCACAGTGTTAAATCAGCTTAATAAAAAAGCAGAGGCTAGTTATTACAGGACAATTCATTTGGTAAATTAGCCTATCTTTTAGTGAAAAATTCACTTTGTTCTTGAAATTTAAGTATTAAACAGTGATTTGTCATGCTTCTAAAATAAATACTATCATATGATTTACTTTTGTTTTGCTTTGTCCTAAAGCTTGTTGATGATACCAACACAACAAGAAAATCAATGCACTATGTGTTAAAGCCAGGTATAAAAATCTTTAATTATGTTTTTTAATGAAAAAATTCTTAATATTTCATAAGACAGCTATAAGTACCCTGTTTCCCTAAAAATAAGGCCTCCCCAGATAATAAGCCCAATTGGGCTTTTGAGTGCATGTTGTAAAATACACCCTCCCCTGAAAATAAGCCCTCCCCAAAAATATTGCAACACAGCAGCAGCCATGAGGTGACCATGCTCATCGCCCCCTGCACCTCAAAAATAATAAGACCTCCCCAAAAATAAGGTCAAGTGCTTATTTGGGGAGTCAAAAGAAAATAAGACCCTGCCTTATTTTCGGGGAAACAAGGTAGAATATATGCATATTAAAAAAAGTGCTAGAGGACACTATTACCTTAAGCCTATAGTTTGAAATTGACTGATTCCATAGCGGTAGAGATGAGAGCTTGTTCAGATTTCATCTGCTCATTCTTTCAGCTCTTATTACTGATTCTTTCCCATATAATGAATGTTCTGCATTGGCAAAACAGTGCTAGTCAATTCTGAAGGTGGATGAGTGATGCATGTGAACTTTCTTAGACTGAATGTGATCATTTTATTTTATTTCACTTAAAAAATATGAAGGAAAGTTGGACAGAGATAGCACTCCAGGATGGAGAGCCTTTGCCACAGCCTCTCTAACATTCAAATTATACAGAAATGGAGAATCTCTGTTGTTTTGTGTAACTGTATACCTATTTGACTTTCTTGTACTACTATGTGTCACAGGCTCTCACCGCTTTGTTTTTAAATTAAAGTATAACACCATAAAAATGAAGACAATAAAAAATGAAAAGCCTTTCCCCAAAGTAATGGATAGTGGCCTTTTCACAGCCAACATAATTGTTTGCCTCCTCAAGAGGGAGCAACTTCCACAGATCTGTGCTGAACTATAGTTAAGGCTTCAGCCAAAGCCTGTGGCTATTGGAAATTCATCTCAGAAGGCCTTAGTTCATACTATTTAGTGGAGTAGTATCACAAAATGTAATTTAATTAAAATAAATTTGCCTTGCATGTTTCAACAGTTCTAGTACCTCAGTTTAGGAAAAACTAATTTAGGTATTTTTCTTCCACCTTTCTTCAAGTGCACTCCCCATGGGCAGGTCCAATAAGAGCAGTAGCCATTACAGTACCCTTGGTTGTCATCTCTGCATTTGCAACACTTTTTACAGTGATGTGTCGCAAAAAGCAACAAGGTAGGCATATTGCTTCTAAATGACCTGAGGGGTGGAAGTCCCTTACAAAACTAGTCATGGGAAAATTAATTTGGTAAAAAGTTGGATGCCCTGACCAGAAACCATCTTCTCCAACCGTGTTTGTTCTGGAATTTCCATGTTGGTAACGGGAGTAACACGCTTCTGTTTAACAAAATGCAGCTACAACTTGAGATCAGAATATTGTCATGCAGCAAGCAAGCAAGTGGCATTGCTGTGATCGGCTGGGGGCCTGCAGTTTACCTTGTCTGTTGACTGATAGAATTAATCTGAAATATCCTAGAGAATCAGGTGTTTGCAGTGCAGCATCTGGGTGATCAGCTTTTGGGGGGTCTGTTTGCAGGCTCACGTTCTATTGAGTCCTGAAAGAAGCTGGGATTCCTTTGGCATTACAGATTTGTTCTTGCAGATAAATGAATTTTAGAGCCTTACACCTCAATGTTTATTTTAATGTTTTGAAGGAGCCCTATGCTTGCACTGAGTAGGGCTTGTATTTCTGAAAGGATGCAGCTATAGAGGACTTCATAGTCCATATCTGACATACAAGATTTACCATGTAGCCTCACCTAGATGAAAAAAAACCCTCAGGTCAATGTACGTAGAATGAGGAAACCAGATTGTTTTTGGAATTAGGAGAGGGAAAAAAACCAAGATTTTGAACCTTCCAAGCTGAAAGGGGAAAAGTAATGCAGTTCTTCTCTATGTGTAGATAGTAAAATGCTTCACTGTTAATTTTTTTGTTTCAATTTAGAAAATATCTATTCCCATTTAGATGAGGAGAGTTCTGAATCTTCTACCTACTCTGCATCTCTCCATGTGGAAAGGCAGCAGCCTCGGCCCAAAGTTTTCCTCTGCTATTCCAATAAAGACTGCCAGAAGCACATTAATGTCATCCAGTGTTTTGCCTTTTTCCTTCAGGACTTTTGTGGTTGTGAGGTAAATTGGCCCGCTTGCATTTTATTGAAGTCTTCTTTGTGCTATATTAAACACATTTCTTTAAGGCATTAATTGAATTGAATTGAATTGAATAGAAATCTTAACATTCAATTTACTTTTTCCTTTTTGTCTGAGGATGTTTATTGCATGTCTGACCTCTAGTGGTCAGCTTTGAGTATTGCTTATTTTGTTTGGATTAGTTACTTTTCAGATAGATGTTTGCAACAAGGATGTGCCTAAATATTCTAGAAAAAAATGAAAATATTCTAGTATGGCCTTTAGAATAAAAGCATAAAAGCTCAGCTGGGTTTTTCAAATTTCTTGATTCTGGTACTGTAGGTTAGCACATTCCTCTTTCCATCAGTTTATTTGGAGCTACCTTGAAAAAGTTCACTTCAGTATTTATTATTTATTTATTTATTATTAAAATTTATATGCCGCCCATATATAGTATGGGGGACAGCTCCTGCCAGCCATCCTTGATACAGAAGAAAATGCAAAGCATTCCACCTCATGCTGATTCATTTATGTATGAGAAGCCTTGTACAAATGTGAAACATATTTTTCCTGATAAAGCACTTCATAAATTAGTAACATACTAGAAATGGATATAAATTTGAAAGACTGCCTCATTGTTAAAGCTCTTTGCATTTAGAAAATATGGAAATTTAGCTTAGAATTACTGAACATATAATTGAAATTTCTTGCATGATTATATTTATCTGTTGCTCATGTCATTAATAATAAAACTATTACAAATAATCCTAATCCAATCTTTCCTTATGGGATGATTTATGCTGGGCTTTTAACTCCACAAATTAGTTTGCTGTGCTAGCTGGAAATAATAACAACAATAATGATGATGTTGATGATGATAATGATGATGTTAAGGACTAAGTACTGCTAGAATGTTCAAGAGTGGAGAAAACTGTCCTAGTGTCAGAATAAATTATAGACATAACTTTGTATGTATGTATATTATATATAATATACACATTTATATACACACACACAAAATCCAAAAGCAATTCTGAAGACTCAAAAACTAGTGGGAAATTTTGTTTAGTTGATTAAAAAACAATTACAAACCTTGTAATTATATTATTTTGGGTGATTAACAGGCAGTTATCTTGCCAAGTATTTCATTTAAATTATGCTTTAAGAACTGTTTTTGTCTTCTTTACAATCTATTTTAATTTGATACACTCTTAACTTATTACTCTCTTTATGTATAGGTAGCCTATCTATAAATAGGTAACATTATTATTCATACGTAATCTTATGATTCTGTGATTTTAACAAAAGAGTTTCTTTATCTATTACGAGTTTCTTCATACTATAAGAACCCATGTGGATCCCCTGACAAGACAAGCCACCAGAATATCAATTGAGAGCAAACCCCACTCCCTACTAGCACTGATGGCGTTACATAGTTTGAGTAAGGGAACATTTGCAAGAAAACAGCCAAGCTCAAAGAGTGCCAAGGACCCCTCAGTTCCTGTAACATATATAGTAGCTTCAAAAGATATTTGGCATACATCACATGGGTTTTCTGTGGGAGCATAGGGTATATGAAGGTGGACCCTTATTTTAACCTCAGAACAACAGCAGTAAGTTTTGAGTGTGACAGCATGATTGGCTTAAAGCTCCAGATGAAGTCCACAGTTGAATGAAGATGTGATCCAGAGTCACTCCAGTTCTTGACTACTATATTACTCTGGCTGTCCCAGAGCACAATTCATATTATCAACTTACAGCACCAAAAGAATTCTCCATCAGCTGTTATGTGGATGTCACCTTTAATTTGTAATTCCAACTCATCTCTCTCTCTCTTCCTCCCTCCTCCCTCCCTCTGCATGTATGTAATGTGCATTGTCTCTATAGTGTGTGTGTTTGTGTGTGTGTGTATTATTACGCATCCAAACACACATACATTCTGCTTTTTTAAAAAAAGTCTCCCAAGTAAATGCTCACTTAAACACTCCTGTAATAAATGCCAGCCCATAAATGCACATTTATGAAATAGGCTGGGTGTTGAAAGTTAAAGTATTATACAAAGGCTATAATCTTCTTTCCTAGGTTTCTTTAGACTTATGGGAAGATCTGAAAAACTCTAAAGAAGGTCAGAAAGAGTGGCTTCACCGGAAAATCAATGAATCCCAATATGTTATCGTTGTATGTTCAAAAGGAATGAAATATTTTGTGGAGAAAAGGAGCTGGAAGCACAAGAGATCCAGGGACAAGGATACTGGGAAAGGAGAACTCTTTCTGGTTGCCATAGCTACCATAGCAGAGCAGCTACGTCATGCAAGGCAAAATTCACGTGACCTCTGCAAGTTCATTGCTGTTTATTTTGATTATTCCTGTGAAGGTGACATTCCTGGAGTACTAGATTTAACCACAAAGTACAAGCTTATGGACAACCTGCCTCAGCTTTATGCTCATTTAAAATCCAAAGATCTTAGCTTTCATGATTCAGAATTGTATCCTGTACATATTAGCAAAAGAAATTATTTCAGGAGTAAGTCTGGACGATCGCTCTACGTTGCCATTTGTAACATGCATCAGTATATTGACCAGGAGCCTGACTGGTTTGAGAAGCAGTTTGCGTCTTTCTTCCCAACACCTTTACGTTGTCTGGATCCAGTGATAGAAACTTTTGACTCTGGCTTGGTATTGAATGACTTAGTCAATAAACAAGTGACTGATGGAGATTTTTATCTAAAAGTAGATGCAAATGTTGTTCCTCCTTTGCATTCAGACTCTCTTAGTGCGACCCAGCATTTGAATCTTGGGCTGGATAGAGAATCTCAGGACATTCAGAATACTAGCTCTATTCTTCAGCCATTGCTGCATGTTGTAAAAGCATCCAATCTGCCAGACATGCCCCGAGATTCGGGAATTTATGATTCCTCTGTTCCTTCATCTGAACTGTCACTACCTTTAATGGATGGACTCTTAACAGATCAAACTGAAACATCTTCTATTGCAGAGAGTGTTTCTTCCTCATCGGGACTGGGTAAGATGTAGTAAAGAGTTGCACTCTGGAGTTGCATGTTAAGATTTTAAATTTTACAAGATGATAAAGTGGATGGGTTTTACAGTCTGTATGTTAAGACTTGAATAATATCAAAGTCAGTAGATTATGACAAACCACCATTGCTTTTGATTCTGATAATGGTGACCACTTCCAGTGTAGCTTTAACTTAATCACAAGGAATTGGAAGCCATCTTCTCATAAAACACTGCAGTGGGTCAGCTTCAATTAGATTTATGCTTAGATTAAATTGTTGTAAGGGAGAAGTCAGAATGGCATACAGTATGTAAAATCCTGTGACTTCTGAGATTTCCCTTATATCTGTAAATTTTTCAAAATAATTGTTATACAGGAGGACTGAAAATACTCCCTTAAAACAATAGAAATGAATAGTTATGACGTATACCCTGGATCTGAAAAGTATTTTCCTCTGCTTTGATAGTTCTACCTTGTTTCAATAACTTCAGGACTTTCCTCCAGCATCTCCCAACACGGTTCCATACCTGCAGGCAAAGCTTTTCAATAAGAGGAAATTTGTGTTTCTCAAAATCTATGCCATCAAGAATACTTTCTCTAAGCTGTTTCGTTCCAATATTTCCTATGATCTGATCAGGTTTTAGCGTCCCATCCACAGCTCATCAGGTGTTCCCCAAATCTAGGCTGCAGGGTTGGGAAATACCACATAGTACAACATAGTACTTACAATATCAGCATATTGCTCCCAACAATCTGGGTCTTCATTTTATTGATCTCAGAAGGATGGAAGCTGAATCAAACTTGAGCTTGTCAAGATCGAACTCCTGGCTGTGGGCAGAGTTAGCCTGCAATTCTGCATTCTAACCACTGCGCCACCATGGCTAATAGAAGCTGCTATTTTTATTATATTGTTTTAAAGTTTGTTTTATATTTAACAAAATAAATGGTAGTATATGTTGAATATACTATACATGGTGTAACTCATCTGTTGAGAGTATAGGCATAGAAGTGTTAGAATGTGAATAAATAAATCTTTGATTTGGCAATAAACCAATTAACTAACAAGACATCTTTCCAACGTCTTTCTTCCTAGGAGAAGATGAACCTCCTTTGCTTGCTGCCACCAAATCCCTCGTGCCTGGAATATGTAAAGCAGAACTTCATTGCTGTATCCACACGGAAGAACTGCAGGCAATTGCACCTTTATAATGGATTGAAAGATTGTTATGCATTGCCACTTTATCAACAGCATCCGTTTATACATTAATCTCTCTTATCATTGCAGTCATTTCACTTGTTTGGAAGAAAAAAACACTTTCCTGATTTGCTTCCTAGGGTAGTTCATGGCCAGTATATTTTGTTTTATACTTTGTTTTTATATAAATAGTTTTCTGTTTTGATAATAAAACTTGTAAGTTTGGGGAGATACATATTACTATCGATTTGGATTTAAGGGAGATGTTGTATTAACAAGAGTTAAAATCTATCTGCTTTCTAATATGGATATAGTTTTGGAAATTACCAAATCTTTGACTTCTATGATTTCATCCTATAAGGGTGAGCCATGACTCTATAAGTCTATGCCTTTTCTATCCTTAATTCTATTATACCCAAGAGGAAAGACAACGTGAGTGCTTGGTTATAATTAGCTATGCTTCCTTTCCATCTAAACTTGATATTCTGATTAACAGTTAAATTGTTATAAAATTATGATTTGAAAGTAGTTTATAATGAAACTGACTACAATTTAGTGTAACAGCCTATTTAATTGTGGGAAATGAGTAATGTTTGATCCTCCAATGCTCTGTGCATTTTATCAAGTTCCTGGTTGTAAATGCTGAAGCAACTGGACATCATAATATAATGTTCAGTAATATTTGGAGATTGGAAAGCAGGATTCACAGTGTTAAAATACCAAAGATGAGGCCTATAAAAATAGGCTTTACTAAAACAGAAATCATTATTGAATTTTGCTTATCCAGCCTAGCATATTTAAGTAGAAAGTTAAAAAAAAATGTTTTGTGTCTTATGTTACTTGTGACCAAACTTATATTAATGGCAAGTTTGCCATTCCAATTTGAAAATAGTTTAAATTTAAACTCAGTTGTGTTTCCTAGTTATCTGCTAACATTCACGCTAGTATTAATATTTCATTGTTTAAGCATTTTTTAAAATGTTTTTAACTTTAGAAGCTAAAATATTAAAGTTCCGTTGAACAATTAAATCAAGGTCAATAATATAAATAATTGATATGTAACTGAGTGTTTGTTTATATGAATCATAAAGTTAATGAAAAATACCAACCCTTCTCTAGCCCCAGAGTTGTATTTACTTTAAATTGTTGTCCTGGCTTTGTTGAGAATACTGTTCTTAATTCATTTACCTTACACTGACATTTTTCCAGGTTGTTTAATGATTTTAAAAGATACATAAGTAGATACATTTGCTTTTTTTTTTTTAAAGCCTCAATATTAGTAAGTAGTCATTTTCATGCATGTAATGTATTTTTGAGCCGTTATATAACATTATTAAGGGGCAAGTCTGGTAGATGAGCATTACAATATTTCCCCAATTTGTTCTCACTTTTTTAAAAGCTTAAATTGAGTTTTGATAGCAAAAATTTTACTACATGTTTTAAACTTTGTTTTTTTTTAAATCAAATCATTTCAGAAAGGAATTTAGACTTTCTTAAATAGTTTAATGTGGGGAAATAATTTTGTGGAAAAAATATTTCCATAAACAATGATACACATACGATAATCACGAGAACTATTTTTTAAACCTTGCACTGTCCCTTCTGTATATTTGCTGACCACTTGAAAATGTTGCTTGTGTATCCTGATTACTTGAAAGCCCATACAACAGTTCTGGAGGATTTCCTTAAAATAATATAATTTTTTTTAAAGTAAGGAACATATGTGGTAAATTCCTCAAATAGCAAAAAAAAACAACAAAAAAAAACAAAAAAACAACCCATACTGAAAAGTTTAAAGAGAGAATGGATGGTCAGAATAATAACTATTAGAAATAGGGACACAGATACAGTTAAAACCATAGTTTCATCCCCAAATGCTATAGTTTTCTATTTGTACTAGAAAAGAATTCCTATCAGGATTTTCTAAAAGAAAATGTAATCATTGAAAGACTTTCTGTATCTTTTATATTCCTTGGGGATCTCAAGTGGCCTTGCTTTACTCATGCTGCTTAAGCGTTATGAAAGTTGAAATCCAGTATTTCCTCAGGGCACCATATAGATAACCGCTATAGTGGCCCATCTATATATTCTGGGTTTCCAGTGGTTTTTGAGTTTGTACTCAATCATACCTTCACAATTTGAATTTTATTTAATTAACATACTGTGATCAAATACCTTGATTTTTGTTATATCAAGTTATATTCATAATACATTTTGATAAAATACTGTCAATTTTAGGAATTAGCAATCCTAAAATAATATCAGTGATTTTTCAACTAACCTAATGTGGTAATTAGATTACCACTAAAATTGCCACTTTTCTAAATCAGCACTTCCCTCCACTCACTCTCAGCTGTCTCTTAAGTTTCCTTTATTAATGTCATATTTGCAATACTTCTCAGGGATATTTTTGGCCCATTTTTTATGTTTCACCTGCATGTTTTAAGTAGTTTTGCAAGTTAAGAAATGCCTCAATATTGCATACAATATTGCAATTTTTTTTGTTTCTGTCATCTTCAGAGCTCTCTTCTCTTTTTCAAAATCATTTCCAACTCAAGAGAATGAAAAAACTGGTTACAGCCAGTTTGTGATTCCTTATTTGTTCTAATGCTATTCATTGAAACTTATTTACCAATTACTTCTTATTGGGTTAAAAAAATAAGAATTAAGGAAACAAAAAGAAAAGAAATATATAAAGTAATGACCTTTCCCTTCATGACAAGTATAAACAATTTTAACAACTTATCACCTTTTCTAACAGTGCAACAAATATCTATACTTCCCATATCTGATCTGTCATCTATAAACAAATACTTAAAGACACCATTGTCCTAGTTAATGAAGTTTATTAATGATTACCAGAGATAACACCTCTATTTTAATCTTTATAAAATAAATCATAACCTTTCTTTTTACTTTCAGCAATCTTCAGTTAATTATATTAATCCACCATTTATCACTTTCTTGTTGGAGAGAACTAATGGGCATAGAAATTAATAAACTTCTATGATATGTTATTTATTATAAAAAATAAAGGAACTCTTCATCTCCATTCATGGCTTTAAAATTAAGGGATAAAAAGTGGTATTGTTTTTTGCTGCAGAGGAATAGAGGTCTGTTCCCTGACCAACTGCTTTTACATTGTTATTTCTCTTCTCTCCCTCTTAACCCAACACCAAAAAATAAAATAAATAAATCCCAAGTTTTCCCAAAAAGCAAGCTACAGAATCTCTTGTGGGGAACACATAGGAGTTAGTCTTCCTCCATTCTATAAATTCAACCAACAGATTACAAAATAGAGTAAAAATTTAGTGAAGTCTCTTAAGCTTGCTGATTAAAAAAGATAAGGTGATGTGTGTGTGAATAAGAATCTTAGAAAAATAAGTCAGAAAGTAGTGCATATAGTTGATAGTTTAAATGACTATTTCTCAAACTCAGCAACTTTAAGATGGGTGAACTTCAACTGCCAGAATTCCCCAACTTATATTATTAGTTGAAGTTCACCCATCTTAAAGTTGCTGAGATTGACAAAAACATTGGTTTAGGCAGAGTCCTGTGATAAAGATTCCAGATTGTACCGTGTTTCCATGAAAATATGACCTGTCCTGAAACTAATGTCTTGCCATATTTTTTGCGTGGGCAAAAATATAAGCCCACCTCCCGAAAATAAGCCCCCTGGACAACCCCCCCTAAGCTTACCGACCTAGTGGTATCCCGAAGGTGCCAAGCCACGGGAGTCGGGGGGGCGGAAAGGCACTCATGTTGCTTGGCGCCTTAGGGATACCACTAGGTTGGGGAGTGGTGTTCTGCCTGGCTGGAGGGGGGAGACTGCCCCCTTGCGAGTGGGCTCCCGAAGAGCCAGGCACAGCCTCAGGGGTGAAGCAGCCATGAGGTGACCACGCTCATGAGCAGCTGCCTAGCAAACCCCCTCTCCAGCTGGGCAGAGCGCAATTCACTCACCTAGGGGGTATCCCTAAGACACCAAGCCATGTGGTGCTCTGCCCACTCCCCAGCTCCTGTGGCTTGGTGCATTCAGGATACTCCCTAGGTCAGTGCTTGGAGCTCTGCCCAGCTGGAGAGGGGGGTTGTGCGAGTGCCTGTTCTGCCCCCAGGAAGCATGCTTCCCAGCCTTACCTTGCCCTGGCCCAGCTGCTGCCACCGCCGTGCTCCGAGCATAACTTCTTCTCCGGTTTCCAAATTCCAAAACTTGGCTGCCGAGTTTTCCAGCAGCGGCAGCTCTAGGACTACGCTCTATGATTGTGGGCCGGCTGCTGGACAGAGAGTCTTCCAGACAGAGTCTTCCAGCAGCCAGCCCACAACCATAGAGCGCACTCCTAGAGCAGTCACTGCTGGAAGACTCAGCAGCCGAGTTTTGGAGATTGGAAGCCAAAGAAGAAATTATGTTTGGCGCGTGGCCATGGTGGCGGCTGAGCCAGGGCATGGTGAGGCTGGGAGGCATGCTTGCTGGGGGCAGAACAGGTGCTCGCGCAGCTCCAGCTGGGCAGAGCTCCATGCACTGGCTAGGGGGTATCCCAAATGTGCCAAGCCACGGGAGCTGGGGAGTGAGCAGAGCACCATCTGCCTTGGCTGTGCCCGGCTCTTCGGGAGCCTGCTCGCAAGGGATCAGCTGCCCAACAACCCCAAAACAATAAGCCCTCCCCCTATAATAAGTCCAAGACCATATTTCATGGGGCAAAAGAAAATAATACCCTGTCTTATTTTAGGGGAAACACGGTATTAATCGCAAGAAAGAGTAGTGTGGATATTGAACTACTTGTGCTTCATATATTTGAGTAAAACTCAAAATAAATAGGTAAATCAAATATTTATGAGAATGCTAGTGAGTTCTTGTCATGTAAAAGATAAAAAGTTAATTCAAAATGTCCAATTCCTTAAATTTTTTAAGAGTAATAAGTTGAAATGTTTTCAGTTAACTAGAGCATTGGAAAAGCATACAATTCCTTATAAAAACTAAAAAAAAACTGATTTGAAATAGGGATTTAATTACTTTTTCCAAGGTGTAATTAGTTATGTTTTGTTCACTTCTGGTGTAGAAGTCCAGAACGAATTTAATCTAAAGGAAAAATCTTAGGCTACTAAACTGCCTGAAGGCTTAGTGGGACTTTCTGTTCCCTTCCCTTCATTGTTACTTATAAACTGACCCTAACCGTATACAGAATTAAACATGATTTGTTCAGTTAGGAATAGTGGTAACTAGGGCAATGGTCTACAGGGGGCATAAAGTAGATCTAGACTAAAAGAAGAAGCAATCTAGTAAAGATACAGTTGCCAATCAGTTGTGTTTGTGCACTAGGTATACACTTGACCCATTTCTTCATATATATTAGCGTGCCCATGAAAAAAGTAACTTTTTAGGTAGTACCATTATAAGATGGTACTATTTAGAAATAATTTACTTGGGTTTGTACCACAGAAACTGGCTATTGCTATTTTTCTCCTCAAAAGACATGGCAATTCCCAGCTTACTTTTAACTTAAAAGTACTTAACTACTTTTAACTTAATGAAATTGCCATACAAAATATTTCTGTATGCTTTAGAAAGCGATTACTATTTTTCCTTTCCAAAGTTGAAGGTATACTAAAGGCTCAATCATCAAGGTGAATTTTTGAGAAAGGATAGAATTTGCCATGAACAAGTTCTATATGAACTTGAATGGAATGTGTGCTCCTTTGATTATCTGATAAATTCCATTGAGAAATCTATTGAAATATGAATTACATTTCTACGCAGCCCAGAAAACATTGGATAACATTGATTCATAGATTCAGCATACTTACATTGAAACTAAGCTTGAGTGTGTCTAAAATCTGTCTGGTATGTGTCTCTTGGATATTAGGGTCTTGAGAAGATTGGAGTAATCCAATATCCTTGTGCAAATAGAAGGGCCCCTTCCATTCATGAAGGAATTTAAATCTAGCCCCACTGAAAGAAGAGGTTGAAGTAAATTTTTGTTGACTTCCTTTTGTTCTGCATCCTCTCACGCTATTTGCTTAATAGACCAGGCAGCGCCATATTTGCCTGCTGTTGCAGGAAAAAACTGACCATCCTTTGAACAAAATTCTAATGAAGCTCTGGATTCAAACCATTATAGTTCAGTATTTCTGTGCCTTAGGACAACAGGAAAGCCTCTTGAAAGCCAAAAATGTTAATATACATTTTAGAGGTTAGATTATGATTTTTTTTTAGTATTGTTTTAGATGCCAAACAAATTTTAATATTGTAACATAATTCACTGTATTTTTAATACTTTACAGATATGGAGATATTTTCTAAATGCTTATAATTCCTGTATGAATTAAATTGAAATATGTAAGAAACATCAACATGGGTCAATACTTAAGTAAATCTAGTGATTTTCATGTTTATATACAAAAATTTAAGCCTTTGGTAATAGCTGATATTAGAGTGAATTTATTTTTATGTTGGCATAATTTAGAAATTAACATCAGAATAAAAAGTCATAAAATAATTTTGAATTGCTTATGTTTTTATGCTAAATTGTTTTTGTAAGCCTGTATTTTTTCAAACATTAGCTTCACATCAAGAGTAACAATAAAAATTGTGTACTTTTTTATCCATTGTTATTACGTCCTTGGGATAAAATCTCTTTAAGCTCTTACTACAAAACATAATTGCTAATAAATTTAGATTGTTTGAAGTAAAATAACATACAATGAAAATTTAATATCTAGAAGCTTCTTCTGTTAAATTAAATGCAAAGGACTTTAGTTTATAATAATTTTAGTGAATACTGTATATGGAATAAATTAGCTCTGAGAAAAAACTTTCACATGGGTGAATTTAAATGCACTCATAACTTCCTGGGTTTCCAGTGCTATATCAGTCTAAGCTTCCAAATAGTCTTCAATGGCAGCCCCATGTAGAAAGAGTTGCAATAGACTAATCACAAAATGACATTAGTGGTGAAATTCAGCTGCCTCTATCAGCCTTGCCCGAGCTGGTAACGCTGGTGGTGGGAGGCTCTGCCCACCCACCCAGACATCATCATGTCCCAGTTTGGCATGCTCACATTTGCGAACCAGTAGGGAAGATAAGTGAATTTCACCCCTGAATGACATGATTGTGTGCAGTGCCTCTTGCTCCAAAAAAGGATACAAGATATAGTTGTGTAATGGCATTGCTGACCATAGCTTCCAACTTGAGAACACCACTTTGTGAACCAGTTCCATTTGGAGGAGCAAAACCTCATCCAGAGCTCTAGAAGAAACTTACTTAGTTTCAAAATCTGTAAATCAACTATTGTGAGGATGAGGCTGGAGTCCAGTGACAGTAATTTTTATCTTTTGTGGAGTAGTCTAATATTTTTATGAACTGGGGAGTTCAATTAGGACGTTAGGAGTTGGGGAAGTTGGGATAATATATATTTTTAAATTGCTCTCCTCACTATTGCTGTGAGCCATTCAGAGTTATGGCTAATTATATGGGCAGCTATAAAGATGTCTTGAGTGGTCATTATCCTAATCCTAAAGGCTCAAGGCCTTGGGTCAGGAGCTTCTTCATCTCACCTGTTTGGTCTAGAACAGAGATGTCAACTAGGTGACAATTCAATATTGTAGGCTAACTCTGCTCACATTGCTAGGAGTTTGATTCCTTTTATCCTGACCAGCTCAAGCCTTCTATCCTTCTGAAGTCAGTAAAATGAGGAACAAATTGTTGGGGGCAATATGATGACTCTGTAAACCGCTTAGACTAGAGAGTGTTGTAAAGCTGTATGTATATAAGTCTAAGTGCTATTTCTATTGCTATATTGGACACCTCTCGCATGCCAACAAATGACCTCACTTGTAGTTTTATGTGATTGTTGAATAGCTAGGAGCTATTCCAAACCTCACAGCATCCCATATTGGCACTAGCCATTCGAAAAGGAAGGAAATTGCAGTAAAACAGGGGAGAGAGGGAGGGGGAGCACTGAACTTTCTATTCCATTTCTATTGTAATATTCAGGTTGCAA